GCTGCCTGATTTTAGGAGTGACTTCAGCATCATGGCAGCTTAAGACACTCCTTTGTCTCTCCCCTTCAATCTACAACCAGCAAAACACCCATAACTCAGCAAAGGTGCCTCTTCCCAACACATCAGAACACCAGAGAATTCCTCAGCAGTGTGCATCTGAAGGTAGGTGGATTGGAACACACAGAGGAGGCAGAAGAAGGGGGACAGCTGAGGTGGTTCATGACCTGATCCCTGGAACCTGGCCACGGTAGCTGATCTTGCTGAGAAACCAGTGGCATCAGGGGAGACAGTGCTCATGACAGCAGCCTCCCAGCTGCAGCAATGCTCACAGCCACAGGGAGTCACAGTAGCAGCAGCAGGGCCTGTGACCCTGTCCATTCAGCTCCAAGGGGACCCACAGCTCCAGCGCCTGCCCTGTCTGCAGCCGCAGAGCCCACCAACCTGACCACTCTGGTCATGGCAGAGATGCCTACCACCCTGGGTCCTCCCTGTGGCAGAGCCAGGAGACCCCAGACATGGTGGAGGCATGTACCCTCCCAGTGCCCCAGGTGGCGATGCCAGCAATATTGGCAGCAGCAAGGCACCAAAACACAGCAACAATGAGGGCACAGGGGACACCACTAACAGAGGTAGTGGAGAACCGAAAGGTGTGGTCTCATCGATAAGTCATGTCTGACTCTTTTGCCACCCCATGGGATGTGGCCCGCCTGGCTTCACCCGCCAGGCTCCTCCTCTATCCATGGGATTCTTCAGGCAAGAATACTGGAGTGGGTTGCCATCCTGCCTCCAAGGGACCTTCCTGACCTAGGGATCAAACCTGCCTCTAAGAGTGGAAAGTGCTCATTCTCAAATATTCAATTATACATATTGAATATTTGAGAATGAGTACCCAGAATTGGGGGATCCCCGCTGGCTCCGGTGTAAAGAATCTGCTTGCAATGCAGGAGACTCGGGTTCAATCAAGGGAACAGCTACCCAGCCCCGTATTCTTGCCTGGAGGATTTCATGGACAGAGGAGCCTGGCAGGCTACAGTCAGTGGGGTCCATGGGGTCTCAAAGAGACAGGACTAAGTGACTAATACTTTCACTTTCATAACCAGAGGTAGAGCAGGTAAGAGAACTCCAAAGCTTGTGCTATAGCATCACCTACTGGAAGGCACAAGTTGTTGTTCAGTGACACAGTTGTGTCTGACTCTGTGACCCCATGGACTGCAGGAGGCCAGGCCTCCCTGTTCCTCACCGTTTCCCGAAATTTGCCCAAGTTCATGTCCATTGATTCAGTGCTGCCATCCAGTCATCTTATCCTCTGATGCTCTCTTCTCATTCTGCCCTCAATCTTTTCCAGCATCAGGGACTTTTCCAATGTATCAGCTGTTCGTATCAGGTGACCAAAATATGGGAACTTCAGCATCAGTCCTTCCAATGAATATTCAGGGTTGATTTCCCTTAAGATTGACCGGTTTGATCTCCTCGCCATCCAAGAGACTCTCAGGAATCTTCTCCAGCACCACAGTTCGAAGGCATCAATTCTTCAACATTCTGCCTTCTTTACAGTCCAGCTGTCACAACCGTATGTGACAACTGGGGAGACCATAGCCTTGGCTATACTTTGTCAGTAGCGTAATGTCTCTGCTTTTTAACACAGTTTAGGTTTGTCATAGCTTTCCTGCTGAGAAGCAACTGTCTTTTGATGTCACGGCTGCAGTCACCATCCACAGTGATTTTACAGCCCAAGAAGAGGAGCTCTGTCATTTATTCCACCTCCTCCCCTTCTATTTGCCATGAAGTAATGGGGACCTCATGCGGAGAGTTGACTCATTGGAAAAGACCCTGATGCTGGGAGGGATTAGGGGCAGCAGGAGAAGGGGATGACATAGGATGAGATGGCTGGATGGCATCACCGACTCGATGGACATGAATTTGAGTAAACTCCGGGAGTTGGTGATGGACAGGGAGGCCTGGCGTGCTGTGATTCATGGGGTCGCAAAGAGTCCGACACGACTGAGTGACTGAACTGAACTGAACTAAACTGAATAGGGCCAGACGGCATGTTCTCAGCTTAAAAAAAAAAAAAAATTTAGCTTTAAGCCAGCTCTTTCACTCTCCTCCTTTACTCCCATCACAAGAAAAGCCTCTTATTGCTAACGTTGAATCCTTACAACCAAGTATAAGGAGAACAAGTTTTACCTAAAGGAGTTGTTCACTGCTCCAAATAAGTCAGCTAAGAACAATGTATCAGCGTAGGAACAACATATCAAGCACCTTGAAGAACCATGGTAACACAGTATCACAAAAAGAAAGTAGCAATTCTCCAGAAACCAAACTTAAAGTCACAGAATATTGCTATCTAATTGATAGAGACTTCAAAATACCTGTCATGAAGAAACTCAGTGAGCTGCAAGAAAACTCAGAAAGGCAGTTTGGTAAACTCAGGAATAAAAATGATGAACAGAAAGAATACCAAGGAAATTGAAACTCAAAAATAATAACCAAACAGAACTGGACCTGAGGACTCAATATATGAGATAAAGAACCATTAGAAAAAATTGGAAACAGGGCAGACCACATGGAAGTCAGCTCAAAGACAGAAATCTAGAAATGATACAGGTAGAAGAGGAGAGATAATTAAGATATTTAAGGGATTACTCAGTTTTTCTGAGTTCTCCCATGTATGCTGCTGCTGCTGCTAAGTCGCTTCAGTCATGTCCAACTTTGTGTGACCTTATAGACCAGAGCTCACCAGGCTCCTCTGTCTATGGGATTCTCCAGGCAAGAATACTGGAGTGGGTTGTCATTTCCTTCTCCAGGGGATCTTCCTGACCCGGGGATCGAATCCGGGTCTCTTGCATTGCAGGCAGATTCTTTACCAGCTGAGATACCAGGGAAGCCCAAGAATACTGGAGTGGGTTGTCATTTCCTTCTCCAGGGGATCTTCCTGACCCGGGGATCGAATCCGGGTCTCTTGCATTGCAGGCAGATTCTTTACCAGCTGAGATACCAGGGAAGCCCAAGAATACTGGAGTGGGTTGTCATTTCCTTCTCCAGGGCATCTTCCCCAACCGCAGGGTTCGAACCCGTGTCTCTTGCATATCCGGCACTGACAGGCAGATTATTTACCACTAGTGCCACCTGAAAGCCATGGGTGTGTTCGCTTTGTGCAAATCTGTTGAACGATACATTAATGATATGTATATGTCTCTGTACTTGAATACAAAGTTTACTTAACAAAACTAGCTGGTGTGATAAGCAGCAGTGTTTTCCCGTGGCCGGAAGCACAGGCTTTGTAGACAGAAGAAGATCTGGGCCCCCCGCGCTCTAGTTTCTTTCACAGTGAAAGAGGGAACATAATGTCTGTCAAGATTCAATGAATTGAGCACGTAAAAACTTAAGCAACAGGGCCTGGTATAGATCTGCAGGTCTCCCGAGTGACCCAACTCCTGGCAGCGCTGCTTCACTTTCTCCATTCGTAATGCGTGGGTTCTACTAGATTCGTGGCTACCGGTAATGGCGGGCTTGGAGCTCCTCACCCCCGGGCTGGAGCTGGGTAAGGGGTGTCACCCTTTACGAGTAGCCTTGGTCTTCCTGGCTCCACGCGGAGGGCAATCCTTGGCTGCAGCCCACTTGGAAACCCCGTTAAAGACCCCAGTCTGCGGAACCCTGCCCAAGCCTCTAAACAAGAATAGCACTTGGCCAGATCTGACAGATCTCTGAGATTCCCTGGTTTGAAAAACCAATGCCCAATGTTCATCGCAGCACTGTTTATAATAGCCAGGACATGGAAGCAACCTAGATGCCCATCAGCAGACGAATGGATAAGGAAGCTATGGTACATATACACCATGGAATATTACTCAGCCATGAAAAAGAATTCATTTGAATCAGTTCTAATGAGATGGATGAAACTGGAGCCCATTATACAGAGTGAAGTAAGCCAGAAAGATAAAGACCATTACTGTATACTAACATATTGACAGGTTGAGCGTCCTAGCCTGACCGGATGCCCATGGAGAGCCATAAAAGCCCGCGCTTTCTTCCTTACATGGACGGTCCAATCGGATACCGACACGGAGTCCCGAGACACCGACTGCTGCTGTAGCCCGCGTTTTTTTCCCTATATGGAAAGACCCTGCCTAAGCGCCCACCTTGGCTATAAAATCTTCCCCCACCCCTCACACCTCGCAGACTCCCTTTGTCTCTCCGCTCGCCGGGAGTTCTGCCCGAGAGCGACCGCCCAATAAAGGCCTTCACCAACGGTCCTTAGAAGTGGCTCTTTCTTCCAGCGGCGTTTTCTAACACATATATATGGAATTTAGAAAGATGGTAACGATAACCCGATATGCAAAACAGAGACACAGATGTATAGAACAGACTTTTGGACTCTGTGGGAGAAGGCGAGGGTGGGATGTTTCAAGAGAACAGCATCGAAACATGTATATTATCGACGGTGAAACAGATCACCAGCCCAGGTTGGACGCATGAGACAAGTGCTCGGGCCTGGTGCACTGGGAAGAGCCAAAGGGATCGGGTCGAGAGGGAGGTGGGAGGGGGGATCGGGATGGGGAATACATGTAAATCCATGGCTAATTCATGTCAATATATGACAAAAACACTACAATATTGTAAAGTAATTAGCCTCCAACTAATAACAATAAATGAAAAAAAAAAGAAAAGAAAAACCAATGCCGGCAGCGCCACCTGCTGTCAAGAAAACCAGCGCCGGAAAAGGCCGCGCGAGACTGCGGCGCCGCGCGCTATTGCACACGCGCACCGCCCCGGGCCCGCCCGCGCGCCCGCGAGGTACGAAGTGCGCAGAAGCAAGTCTTGGGGGAGGAGCTCATGACGAAGCCGCCCTGCACTTTACCTACCGCGCCCATTCAGCCTTCTCTCAGCGATGTCTTAAACTACGTTTCCCAGAACCCATCCAGGCCTTGCTTTCCGGTGGCGTCAGCGGAAGCGGTGACTGGATTAGGCCGGGCCACACAGAGGCCGGCTTGGTCACTATGGAGGAGATAGGCATCCTGGTGGAGAAAGCTCAGGTGTGGTGGGGCCTCGGTCGCGGGGAGAGGGCGAAGCCGACTGGATCGGATTCTGAGTGACTTTGGGGATCCAGGCGTGGGTCTGAGTGATTTCGGAGGCCTCAGTAGAGAGCTTCGTGCCGATCCGAGGCCTGGGCTGGGTGGATGAGTGATGATAGTAGGGCTTGGCAAGCGGGGCTGGGGAAACGGTGACGCTAGAGGTTCTTTGGGGCTGAATGATTTCGAGGTTTAGGTGGAATGCTGTGACATCTCTGGGCCCGGCGGCATTAGGGGTGGGTGATGTATGGGATTCAGCCATGGGGCCGAATGATATATTAGGCTGAGCTGGGGAACTGACTGATATTTGGGGCTTAGCTGGTGTTGGAGCGCCAAGTAATATCTGTGATCTGGCCGAGTGATATTTGGGGCCTGCCTGGGAGCTGGGTGACATATGGGCCTAATGTGAGTTGGAGTTCATGAGGAATATTTGGGGGGTAACAGTAATGCCAGGACTGTATGAAGGCATGGTGATTTTCACCGTCAATTGAGGCATCCCTGTAGTATTTCGAACCTGTTGACGAGGGGTGGAGGGCATTGGGGTCTGGTAAGGAGTTGATCAGACATTTAGGCCATAGATGGGAGTTAGGACATTGAGGACATGTTACAAGTGGCATATGATACCAGAAGATCTGTTTGGAAGGCTGTGACCGAGGAGCTTGTTAGGAGCTGGGTGACTGCAGGAACCTCTTTAGGGGCCTGAGAAGTTCCCAGGATCTGTTTAGGGTGCTGAATGATGTCAGGAACCTATTAGGGGCCAAGTGACTTCATGGTGAAGTGGGGAGGGGGGCTTTAGATTCTTTCATAAGGGGACCTTCTTCCAACCTGAATTTCCCTCCGTGGTCTAGGATGAGATCCCAGCCCTGTCTGTGTCACGGCCCCAGACTGGCCTGTCCTTCCTGGGGCCTGAGCCAGAGGACCTGGAGGACCTCTACAGCCGCTACAAGGTACATTCAAGCCAGTCCGCAAAGTATCAATGTTGTTGTTGTTGTTTCGTCACTAAGTCCTGTCTGACTCTTTGTGACCCCATGGACTGGAGCCCACGGGGCTCCTATGTCCATGGGATTTCCCAGGCAGGAATACTAGAGTGGCAAACAGGGGCTCTGTAATAACCTAAAGGGGTGGTATGCGGAGGGAGGTACAAGAGGGAGGGGACATATGTGTACTTATGGCTGATTCTTGTTGATATTTGGCAGAAAACAACAAAATTATGTAAAGCAATTATCTTTCAATTAAAAAATACATAAAAAAGAATACTGGAGAAGGTTACCGTTTTCTTTTCCAGTGGATCTTTACCAGGGAATAAGACAGGGAACTCAACTCTATACTCTCTAATGTCCTAAATGGGAAAAGAAACTAAGAAAAAAGAGTGGGTATATGTATAACTGATTCACTTTGGTATATACTTGAAACTAACACAACCTTGTAAATCAACTATATGCTAATAAAAAAATTAACAAAACAAAACCAGTCTGGACCCTGCACAGGGCTCAGCATCCCATACTTCCCCTACCTTCATTCCTTGGCTCAGCAAGGCCTGGAACCATCCCCTGCTTCTCCACTGTCTGCTCACAGAAGCTACAGCAGGAGCTGGAGTTCCTGGAGGTGCAGGAGGAGTATATCAAGGATGAGCAAAAGAACCTGAAGAAGGAATTCCTCCATGCCCAGGAGGAGGTGAAACGAATCCAGAGCATCCCATTGGTTATCGGGCAGTTTCTGGAGGCTGTGGATCAGAATACAGCCATCGTGGGCTCCACCACAGGTACATGGCGGTGGGGGGCTGGGGGTTGTTTACCCATCTGTCCATTCAACAGCTGTTAACTATTTCCTGCCATGTGCCAGGAACTTACAATGGCAAACAAGGGAAGATAGTGTTTTTAGTGTTTAGGTGTAATAGTGTTTTTCAGAGTATTTTCAGTCTGATGCAAAAGTAGAAATATATTTTACATATTTTATGTTCTCTCCCTTTCGCTCTTCTGTATAAGTATGTATATATATAACTTATACAGTAAAAGTTTGACTGAAGGTACTTAGCCTCATTGTGGTGTGATACTGTAATTAGTTTTCTATTCTGTTCCATTCTGTTTTGTTTTAAACAGCATTCTGGTCATGACTATCTAAGATAATTTCACAACTACTACTGAGTTCAGTTCAGTTCAGGTGCTCAGTCATGTCCGACTCTTTGCGACCCCATGAACCACAGCACAACAGGCCTCCCTGTCCAATACCAACTCCTGGAGCCTACCTAAACTCATATCCATTGAGTCAGTGATGCCATCCAACCATCTCATCCTCTGTCATCCCCTTATTCTCCTACCCTCAATCTTTCCCAGCATCAGGGTCTTTTCAAATGAGTCACCTCTTTGCATCAGGTGGCCAAAGTATTGGAGTTTCAGCTTCAACATCAGTCCTTCCAATGAACACCCAGGACTGATTTTCCTTTAGGATGGACTGGTTGGATCTCCTTGCAGTCCAAGGGACTCTCAAGAGTCTTCTCCAGGGAGTAGGGCAAAAAAAAAAAAGAGTCTTCTCCAACACCACACTTCAAAAGCATCAGTTCTTCGGCACTCAGCTTTCTTTATAGTCCAGCTCTCACATCCATACATGACTATTGGGAAAACCATAGCCTTGATTAGACAGACCTTTGTTGGCAAAGTAATGTCTATGCTTTTTAATATGCTGTCTAGGTTGGTCATAACTTTCCTTCCAATTAGTAAGCGTCTTTTAAATTTCATGGCTGCAATCACCATCTGCAGTGATTTTGGAGCCCAGAAAAATAAAGTCAGCCACTGTTTCCCCATCTATTTGCCATGAAGTGATGGAACCAGATGCCATGATCTTAGTTTTTTGAATGTTGAGCTTTATGCCAACTTCTTCACTCTCCTCCTTCACTTTTATCAAGAGGCTCTTAGTTCTTCTTCACTTCCTGCCATAAGGGTGTTGTCATCTGCATATCTGAGGTTATTGATGTTTCTCCCGGCAATCTTGATTCCAGCTTGTGCTTCCTCCAGCCCAGGGTTTCTCATGATGTACTCTGCATATGAGTTAAATAAGCAGGGTGACAATATATAGCCTTGGTGTACTCCTTTCCCGATTTGGAACCAGTCTGTTATTCCATGTCCAATTCTAACTGTTGCTTCTTGACCTGCATACAGGTTTCTCAGAAGGCAGCTAAGGTGGTCTGGTATTCCCATCTCTTTGAGAATTTTCCACAGTTTGTTGTGATCCACACAGTCAAAGGCTTTGGCGTAGTCGGCAAAGTAGAAATAGATGTTTTTTTGGAACTCTCTTGCTTTTTCGATGATCCAGCGAATGTTGGCAATTAGATATCTGGTTCCTCTGTCTTTTCTAAAACCAGCTTGAACATCTGGAAGTTCATGGTTCACATACTGCTGAAGCCTGGCTTGGAGAATTTTGAGCATTATTTTACTAGCATGTGAGATGAGTGCAGTTGTGCGGTAGTTTGAACATTCTTTGGCACTGCCTTTCTTTGCGACTGAGTTGGGACATGCAATTTGAAAACACAGGTGAAGTGAGATTGGGCTCTGGTTAGGACTCAGGTCTTATGTGAGAGCTGCTGTTATTAACATGGGTCTAGGTGCTGCCTTCCTGATGGTCATTGTTTCTGCATCTTACCTGTCTTTTCTTGCTTCTGGCCTCTGCTCCTCCAGATCAAGCCATATGATTGTAAAGCTTGCGGGGAAAGGTGTGTGACTGGACCCTGGAGTTGGTAGTGAAGGGAGGGAGAGATCCAAAGTGAGTGTGTCTTTGATCTGTTGGACTCGGGGAGAGTGGCTCTCTCTGAGATGGCGACATGGGCAGAAAAGCAGCCTTGTCGAGAGAGTGAGGGCAGCCTGGAACATCACAGGGAAGTGTCTGGGAGGCTACAGGACAGCCAAGTCTGGAGGTCAGGAGAAAGACTGAGGCTGGAAGGAGATGTGTGTGTCACTACCATAAATGTAGAAGGTGGACTGGGGAGGTGAGATAGAGGAGTCTGGGCAAGCCAAGAGTCTGTGGCAGAGACCTCGATGGGAACGGAGGAATTCCCTGCTGGTCTAGTGGTCAAGAGTCCACCTGCCAGTGCAGGGGACACAAGTTCAAGCCCTGGTCCAGGAATATTCCACATGCCACAGGGCAGCTAAACCCATGCACCGCAACTGCGGAAGCCCGTGTGCCCTAGAGCCCATGCTCTGCACTCGAGAATAGCCCCTGCTCACTGCAAGCAGAGAAAGCCCTCTCGTAAAGAAAGCAACGAAGAGTCAGTGCAGCCATAAACAGATAATAAATTAGATAGGAGAGGATGGTGCTGAATCGGGGCAGAGGTCCCTGGGGAGGAGGGGAGGGAGTGGTCAGAGAGACACTGTAGGAGGCTAGCGGAAGGCCATGATGACTGACACGCTATGGAGGGAAACAGAGAAAAGCCCAGGATGAGGCTTAGGTCTCTCTCTAGTGACTCAGGACCACAGGCCTTCCCGAGACAGGGACCCAGGAGGAGGAGCACAGGTGGGGGAGACGGGAGAGCACACTGAGGCAGTGAGTGAGACGTGCTGCGGGACATCCAGGGCGGGGCATTCCAGGGGGCTGCTGGTCACCTGGTCTGGAGTTCCAGAGTTAGGGGTAGAATCTGCGGCTTCTCATTTTCCCCTTTCCCTTCTCGTCCTTCACCAAGGCTCCAACTACTATGTGCGCATCCTGAGCACCATTGACCGGGAGCTGCTCAAGCCCAACGCCTCGGTGGCCCTCCACAAGCACAGCAACGCCCTGGTGGACGTGCTGCCTCCCGAGGCCGACAGCAGCATCATGATGCTCACCTCAGGTGAGAGGGAGCCCAGGGCCGGGGAGGCCTGAAGGGACCCTGCGGGCCAGGCTGGGGGCCCCAGCTCTGCTCTCCCACCAGATCAGAAGCCAGACGTGATGTATGCGGACATCGGGGGCATGGACATCCAGAAGCAGGAGGTGCGGGAGGCCGTGGAGCTCCCACTCACACACTTCGAGCTCTACAAGCAGGTAAGGAGCCAGATCTGGCAGGGGAGGGAGAGGCTGGGTCCACTGGGTCTCCAGCTGGTGACGGACTCCCTGGCTCCTCCTTCTCTCCACCTCTGGGCTTCAGATCGGCATCGACCCACCCCGAGGCGTCCTCATGTACGGCCCACCTGGCTGCGGGAAGACCATGCTGGCCAAGGCTGTGGCTCATCACACGACAGGTGAGCCGCTTGGCCCCTCCCCCAAGCTCTGGTCTCTGGGCTTTTCCAGCCTTGCCCTCAGCTCTCTCATCCTCCCCAGGAAGTAGCCTGGCATGGCGATTAGGAATGTGGGCTCTGGGGTCAAAGCCCCAGTGTGTGTCTTACCGTGTGGCGCTGCCATCCTGGGGAGGTGACTTTACTCTTGTGCCTCAACTCCCTCATCTAATAAAACATTCATTTCATAGCATGATTCTGGAGAGAATTAATGAAATAGTAACATAGTTTTCCTTTGGTGGGTCATGACCTGTTAGTAATTCTGAGTTCAAATTCATGGGTTCTAACCAGCATTTTAAAAAGTAAAACAGAACAGAAAACACCAGAGTTCACCCCACATACTAAGAGCCCATATTGTTTGTGCAGCTTAACGCACACAAATACGCATACACCTGTCTGCTGCAGTTATACAAATGTATTTCTTGTAAGTTTCAAACAAAGATGTCTGAAAGTCACTGTATTACTGTTTGTAACGCCTAAAACAGGACTCTTAAAATCTTAATGTACTAAGCCAGGGAGCAGTAGAGGGTAGTGTGTAAGCAGTGAGTCAGGCTGCCTGGGTTTTTGAAATACGGACCTCTTAACAACTTCTTATGTAAGGCTGTACTACTTACGTAAGTTAGTTTATGTAACTTCTTGGCAAGTTAGCCTCTCTGTGACTCCATTTCCTAATTTTCTGGATTATTCAGAGGATTAAATCAACATAAAGCTTCTAAAACTGTACCTTGGCACATAGTAAGTATAGTAAATATTAGCCATTGTCGTGATCATTCATTGCTTTAGCAGCTCACTGAACTTCTGCAGTCCCCGGTGTTGGGATAGAGTGATGAGCCAGACATGTCCCCTGCATTGGAGAATTTCCCAGTTTGGCTGAGGAAAAAAGGAAAATAAACACTTAGAACTCAGTCATTCAATATTTATTGAGCACCTGATACATAACAAGCTGTGTCCTAGGTGCAGAAGACATGGCCGTGAACAGAACAAAGTCTCCATACCTCATAGAGGTGATATCTTAGTTGAGGAAGTACTTGAACAGATGAATGAATAGGTCCTGTGTCACATGGTGTTAAATGCCGGAAGAGAACTAAGAGGCAGGGAGACAGGGAAAAACGGGCTGTAGCTTTCTGTGCCAGGACTGGAGGTGGTCAGGGAAGGCTTTTCTGAGGTGACATTTATGTGAAGACCTAGAATACGCTTTTAAGAGAGTGAGTCACGTGAACGTCTGGGAGATGGAGTGTGTCAGGCCGAGGGACTTCGCTGGTGCAAAGGCCTTGAGGCAGGTATGTGCTTAGTGTCTCAGAACAGTGAGGAGGCCCCTATAGTTGAAGCTGCGTGAGCAAGAGGTCATGGTAGGAAGTGAGCCTCCAGTGGGGACAGTCTACAGAGTAGCAAATGCCACAAGGAAGGTGGTGGGATAGCCCTCCAGGAGGGTTGTCAATCCACTCTGCGTAGGCCTCTCAGAGAGGGGTCCCAGAAGAGAGGTGTGAGGAGTCTGCCGGGCACTCCCTAAGGAGAGGGAATAGCATTTGAAAAGGCCAGGGGGTGGGAAAGAACTTACCGAGGGAGTCATGAGTAGTGGTGAGTAGACGTGACTAAGCTCTGTGGGGGCAGGGAACTGGTGGTTTTGTCCTTTTGTGTTTCCAGTGCCCGCCCAGTAGCTGAATTGTGGTAGGTGCTCAGAAAATAACTGATGAAGGCTGACTGAAGGAGGGGCTGTGGGACCAGAAGATGAGGCTGAAGAGGTCAGAAAGGGCATGAATATAAATCTTAGTGCTAATATAAGAGAGTTTGGCTGTTGTCCTGAGAGCAAGGTGGTTGTAGACAGGCCGAGTTCAATAGAAATACATTTGGCCCTGGAACAACAGAGGCCTGAACTCTGAGGGTTCACTTGTACCCGGATTTTTTCACAGGATGCATGGTTGGATGAATCCACAGATGCAAAACTGCAGATACGGAGGGCCAGCTGTAAAGTTAGACACAGATTTTCTACTACACAGAGGGTTGGCGCCCCTAAACCCTGTGTTGTTCAAGGGTCAGCGGTAGAATGCAAGCTATATATACAATTTAAATTTTTAAGTACTCGTTTTTTTAAACACGTTAAACAGGTGAACTTAAGTGTAAAATATATCTATTTCTTATTTAATTGGTATATTCAAAATGTTATTTCAACATGTAACAGGTATGAAATTTGAGTTTTTTCTATAATTTTGTCATTGCAGTAAAATATATGTAATGTAAAATTTATTATTTTAACCACTTTGTGAGTGTACAATTTACAAGTGACAAGTGCATTCACAGTTCTGTGCAGTCACCACCACTATCCATTTCCAGAACTTGTTCATCATTCCAAACTGTAACTCTGTACTCGTTAAACAATAATTCCCTATGTCTCCCTTCCCACCATCCTTGATAACCCTCTATTCTACTTTCAGTCTCTGAATTTGCCTGTTCTGGGCACCTCATGTATGTGAATGAGTCATATGGTATTTATCTTTTTGTGACTGCCTTCTTTCACTTAGCATAATGTCTTCAGGGCTCACCCATGTTGGAATATGTCAGAACATACTTCCTTTTAAAGGCCAAATCATTTTCCACTATATGTATAAAGCATATTTTATCTGTTCGTTCATTTGTTGATGGACATTTATTGATACATTTTTTTGGTACTGTCTTTTGAAGTCTGGTATGTATTTCACACTTAGAGTACATCTCATTTTGTTTGGACCAGCCACATTTCATTTGCTTAGTAGCCACTTGTGGCCAGGGGCCACCATATTAGAGAAGGACAGGGCTACCAGCTGCACAGCTCCTAGTTTATGACCGGGTCTACACCGTGGATTCTGTGTTTCCTTTCTCTGTGGTACCTGGAAGGAGTGTCCTAAAGGTTGCTCCGAGTAACACAGAGCCACATCCAGACACTAACAAACAAGTTAAACTCTTAAGAAAAGATAGAAAGGAGAGGCAAACCTGTTGTCAGCCCCATTGCCACTTGTTACGTGAGAATATGTGCTGCTGGTTCCTGACTCTTGCATGGTATTCAAAGGTGGGTCCTTGGAGCAAATGGAACTGAGCTCCTGGTGAGGCAACATGATGCCTTAGTGTATGAAAAACCTGTTTTCTTGCTGGTTTTTGTAAGCACTCTGAAAATCCACTTTTTTTTTTTTTAATATACGTTGGATTCCACAAATGCCTCTAGCTCTATTTTAGAGGCATGTTGGAATACAGACACATTTTTTTTAAATAACCTGATTTTTAAAGGTTGAGCCAAACAATGGCACATCCCTAGGCAGGATTCGCACTTTGGGCTGCTGGGTCTCTGAGGGGTACGAGTGAGTAGCTGGTCCTCCTGACTGGCTCTAGGACCCTGCCCAGGTCATGACCACTTGGAGTGGGCATCCAAAGAAATGGATGTCCTGAAGGGATGCTCAGTTTCAGTTAAAGTAGTATGGGGCCCTATAGGCAGGAGTCCCATTCTCATCTGACCCCTGTCATCCTGCCATCAGCTGCATTCATCCGCGTCGTGGGCTCAGAGTTCGTACAGAAATACCTGGGCGAGGGCCCTCGCATGGTCCGGGACGTGTTCCGCCTGGCCAAGGAGAACGCACCTGCCATCATCTTCATAGATGAGATCGATGCCATTGCCACCAAGAGATTCGATGCCCAGACAGGGGGTGAGTGATGCCCAAACAGGGCCTGGGGTCTTGGGCAGCCTTGCCTACGGGATGCCGTAGGCTGACCATGTTACATACTCTCCAGCTGACAGGGAGGTTCAGAGAATCCTGCTGGAGCTACTGAATCAAATGGATGGATTCGATCAGAACGTCAACGTCAAGGTTTGGGATTCAGGATGGGCAGGGGAGGTGTGGTGTGGGAATCGGAAGGATGGAGGCTGGCCTGTGAGGGGACAGCTGTTGCAGGGGGAGGGAGAGTGTAGAAGGGACAGAGGTCTGAGCTGGCCTGTCCCCAATGCCAGGTGATCATGGCCACAAACAGAGCAGACACCCTGGATCCTGCCCTGCTGCGGCCGGGACGCCTTGACCGAAAAATTGAATTTCCACTCCCTGACCGCCGGCAGAAGAGACTGATTTTCTCTACTATCACCAGCAAGATGAATCTCTCTGAGGAGGTTGACTTGGAAGATTGTATCCTCCTTTAGAAGCAAGGGGAGGTCTCCCTTGGGAATGGGGGTTGTATCTCCACCTCTGCCTTCACCACCACCCAGATTGAGCAGGTGGGAGACTAAGGTCTGGGGAGAGGGCTGATAACAAAGACAGCCCACGAACAACTTCTGGCTCTGGGCGTTAACCCTGTCGTGCAGGGAATGGTTTCCTTAACACATCTGCCACAGATGTGGCCAGACCAGATAAGATTTCAGGAGCTGATATCAACTCCATCTGTCAGGAGGTGAGTGATGGTTTCTGTCTAGATTGGGCAGGGGTGTGTGTGAAGAGCCTTCCTCTTGAAACCACTCTGCCGCCGTCCTTCTGTCCCTCTTTACCTCCCTGGGTCTTGGGCTGTGTCTGTGTCTTCCTGCACCATCACTGGAGGCGGGGGGTGCAAGGAGTAGGTTTTAACTCTTATCCCTTGACAGAGCGGGATGTTGGCTGTCCGAGAGAATCGCTACATTGTTTTGGCCAAGGACTTCGAGAAAGCATACAAGACAGTCATCAAGAAGGACGAACAGGAGCATGAATTTTACAAATGACCCCTCTACCCAAACCACAGGGGCTGGGGGCTTCTCTCACCTCCCCAGCCTCTTTCCCCAAACCTAGTTCTCTTTCCTCTTTACCCAGGATTGATTTATTCATTAAACAAATATGATTGAATCTTTTTAATTTCTCCTTACAAGTTTAACTCCTTTGGAGAAGCTGGGCCTTGAATAGGATCCTCTGTGCCCCTCCTGCTGTCCTGACAGACATGCGGTTGAGGTACGTGGCCTGGGTTACAGCTTGAGGGAAAAGTAAGGAATTCACACTAAATGGCTTCAGAAATTTGGGGAAAAGGATGGAAAATGAACAGCCCATGACCACAAAATAAAGCCTCTATAATCTCCCCACCCACATTTCCTACAGGTAGACGACCATTCAAGTTTTGGGCAATTCCCACCTTCTTTGCACTCAGAATACGTACCAAGGACAGAGGAACCACCCAGTAGAGTCCCCTGGAGCAGGGATGAGGGGGCAAGGGGAAAGTTGGATGCCTGAGTTCTGTGAATGTCTCTGGCTCTTCCTACCATCTCATTGGGACACAGGTGTGTTTGGTAGGATCAGTTCCCACTTTTCTCTTGAAGTCTCTGTTTAGACCCCTCTCCCTCTGGGGAGTCTTCCCCCGATACCCCAAGTTGGGAAGTAACCCTTTTCCTATGCTGCCCTTACACCGTGCACATGCTCTGCTTGGGACTTCTTACATTTGCCTCCTCCAGACTGGACTGCCTCATAGTCAGGGACTGTAGCTTGATCACAGTTCAAGTCTCAGCACCCACACGTGGCAGTCAGTTCATGTTCCTTAGATAAATGTATGAATGTCACCATTTAGTTGGGAGTGAGATGGTAAGAAGGTATAAGGAAAAATAGTTGAGGAATCGGGTCCTTGAAGAGACGGGTGATTCCTCTGTAGGTAAGCATGGCAGGTTGAGCAGAGAAATTAATTCTTCCCCCCTCCTGGCACCTCATGAAAACAAAAGTAGGTTATAAATTCATGTGGACACAGGAGGGAGGAGGTGGCAGTGAAACAATTTTGAAAAGAGGCAGAGATCCCCTTGTTGATGCAGCAGATCTGAGGAAATGTGAACCTGAACTAATGGGAAGTCCAGAAACAGACTCCATTTTCAGAATCCAGAGGGGCCAGGTTCTGAAGGTGAGGGCAGGAAACAGGAGGATTGCCTGAAAGGCTATATAAAAACCAGAATTGATACACTGAGTGTGCAGGAAACAAATGAGCTGTTGTTACTCCAGGCCTGGCTGAAGACCTCAGATTTACTCTGCAAAGGCTGGGCCAGCAGTTTCTGGGCTGGTGCACCTCGGGCAAGGGTGAGACAGGGGCCATGCTGAAGAGGAGCCTGACTAAGCGCCCTGGGCAGGCACCTGAAGGGTTCCTTCTGAGGAAACCAAGCAGCATGAGCAAGAGGAAAGTGGGCTGTTAGGACACCTGAAGTCCTCACTGTTCATATTCAGCAGCAGCTGATATCAAAACTGATGAGTTTACAAAAGCATACAATTTAGAAATACTGAAAGTAAATTTCAAAAGAAACAAAAGGATGAGAGGTCCTTGCCTCCTGGAAGTAGACTGGGAAATACAAGGTAGGTGTCCCATGGGAATGCTTTTTTGTCTAGTACACTTTGTATTCAATATATACTTGACCTTTTTTTTTTTTTGTACTGTTAACAAAGTACCTAATTTAAACGCAGGAATGATCCCTGGGTCCTGTCACAAAGGGACAAAACACATTGTAAACATCAGTGATAAAGGGCAAAGAGGCTGGGAAAAAAACAAAGCCATGTACCCCAGAAATGACAGCGGACTAGTGTGAAGCTCTAATTGGTAAAAAGTAGTAGCCACTCACATTAGCTGGAAGAGGGGATATTTGGTATATTTTGAAGGTTGCCCAGCAACCTTGTTGTCTGTGCTTAGACAAAATTATAGAGTGGCCTCCCATCATTATGGTCTGAGTGATCCTGATGCTGATGTTCTGAGACTGCTTATGTCCAACAGGATAATGTGGCTCAGCTGTGAGCACTAAGCTATCTTTCAATACCACTGAGGCCTACCTGTAAGTGTCAAGCCAGTTCCTGGATGTCAGGGACTGCTTTCTTCTGTTCTCAGCTACATGCTACCGCATTAAGAAGGAAAAAGTAAGGCCAGTTTGTGGAACAGCCCAGACACATGAACACATTGGAAGTGGAGTCTTCAAAGCAAATGTTTTCCTACTAAGGGAAACAGATCCCTTTTCTCTGTCTGCTCTGCAAAGACAAGGGAAAGAAAAAAAGCAAATATATGTAAACCGTTTTGTTTTTAATTGTTTTAATTATAATAATACACATAAAGAAGCCCAAAATATAAATGTATAATGTAACAACTTATTATAAACAGTACACTTGTGTGACCATCATCCAAGGACCAGGTGGTAGGTTTCCACTGAAAAAGAAATTCCTATAAAACTCTTTGCCCAGGAGCAGTAATGATCCATTTTGTGAATACCTCTGCAATTCCTACAATGGAGAGTGTACCCTGGCTTGATAGAGCCAACAGTCTAGACAAATGTTGATCATTTCCCCAGGTTTCACATATATTCTTTTTTTTTTTATTACTATTATTTGGCTGCATCAGGTCTTAGTTGCAGCACTCGAGATCTTCGCTGCCTCATGCGCGATCTTTCGTTTTGGTACACGGACTCTAGTTGTGGTACACAGGCTTAGTTGCTCCACAGCACAAAGGCTCTAAGCTCCCTGACCAGGGATCGAACCCACATACCGCACTGCAAGATGGATTCTTAACCACTGGGCCACCTGGGAAGTCCCCATGTATTCTTTAGTAACATTTCCTTTGAGTACAACCAGGATCAGTAAGCATAGCTCAGGTGAGACTACAGCACATGTACTGCTAAGTTGTTGAAAAGGACTTGATTGATCAAAAATGACTCTGTACCAATGCAGCAACATGACAAACATCACCACTGTCTGCCCAGACCAGAAGCCATGTCATGATGCCACAGATCACACCACCGCCATCCCAGATGACAAACAGTCTTCCATGTCAGCCTCGTGGCGAGAAGAGGAGGAGGAGGATGTATAGGAAGAGCGAGCCTGAAATAGATGGTGCTCAACATCCCAAAGACTGCATCTTCTTTTTTCCTTTACTTATCCTCACAAATTATCCCAAAACATGACTTGGACATTTTGCCTGTTAAGGTATTCGTCCTGTCATGTCATAGGATGGGAGCCTCCAGTGGAAGCCCAGCACACTGACTACTCCTGCTGAAGCAGGGATATATCAGGCCAGGCAGATGCTGACCCCAGAGTCCTGCAAGGGAGAGCAGGGTTCTCTCCAGAAGTAAGCCTGCTGCGCTCAGTGGTCCAGCACCTACTAATTTTTGTATCAATCTGAGACAGGCCTGGGACCCTCTGCTTCAGTACTGCAATGTTGCACCTGGACACACCTCTCCTTGAACTACAAAATACAAAGAAAGTATATGGGACTACAAATAACTGTTTGCATACACAGACAAATTCTGGACCAAAAGATACAAAAAGACAAAAAAACAAACAAAAAAACCAACCCACCCCCCAAACCCCAAATGCCATTTCTGAAGAGCTGGAAGCAAAAGCAGGGTTACTGCACATGCCTCCCTGCACTCACCACCACCAGAGGGTGGGCAAACCACCTAAGCTACCCCTCCAGTCTGACCCCTGGACACACCCCTACCCTCACCCCATATAAGGAATGAGCTCACACCCACCCCTTGGGGAGCAAACAAGGGAACCTGTTATGCTCCCTACTGCAGCCCGCAGGAGCCCCAGTAAAGCCTTGTGTGAATTGCCTGTCTGGCCTTTAGTCAATTTCCATTGACTGGGGAAAGCCAAGAACCATACAGATAATTGTGAATTCAAACTATTACATCTAGTTTCAACCTACCATCCCAAGGTTCATTCTAGTCATCTCCTTTTCCATGTCTGAGGTTCCCTGCTGATAGGGAGAAGCCTGGCTGCTCCCACTGCATTTGATATATTTACTTATTTGATCAGAATCCCAGCCCCAGTGTCTCAAGCCACTCCCTACATGACCACCCTCCTCATCCTGCTCAGGCTCCAAGCCCATCTTACAGCTTTAGGACTGAATTGCTCAGAAACGGGAGAGGAAGTACAGAATGTGTTATCATCTGACTAATTCTAAGGCACACTGCCTTCCCAAGCATAAAGTGAAATATTTTTTCAATCCAAGATTCTCAAAAGTATCTGCCACAGACCCATAACATCACAGAAGAGTGGAAAGAATTCCTTCATATTAAAAAAAAAATTACTATGGTTTCCATTTTTCTCTATGAAAAAAATTCATTCAATTCTATGTGTGTGTTAGTCACAGAGTTGGGTCCGACTCTTTGGAACCCCATGGTAGCCAGCCAGGCTCCTCTGTCCATGGGAGTTCTCCTGGCAAGAATATTGGAGTGGGTTGCCATGCCCTTCTCCAGGGGATCTGCCTAACTCAGGGATCCAACCCGGGTCTCCCGCACTGCAGGCAGATGCTTTACCTTCTGAGCTACTAGAGGAGACCATTCATTCTATACAGACAGGCAAAATTGTTTGACAGATAAATGACAAATCTTCAGCTCAAGTCGTGAAACACAGCTGATGCTGCAAGAAGATGCAACGTATTCTTTTTTTAATAACAGATCCGTGGCTCATATGATCACACACGTGTACCAGTCACAAGGCCACTGGCACCCGTGATGTACCACACACAGACACTCAGATTCACAGACCTACCTCCACACAGCCTGACTTGCACCCGCCGCTCAACCACCCCCGTCACACAGCAACCCGCATACCCACCCCACCACACACACATCACCCCAGTCACACTCCACCCGAGCCGGTCTCCACCGCGGCTCTCACCTCACTGCTCAGTCACGAGTCACACTCCAGGCCGTGGACTCCTTCCAGTTAGGTGCTGCTTCAGCACACGCCGTCTGGCACCCAAAGAATTACACACACGCAGAAACACAACTCATTCTCAGCCGAAGGCGTACTAGGTCCCGCAACCCTCACAGCGGCAAACACACATACACACGTACACACGCTCACGAGGCCGGGTACATGTGAACCACGCGCCGGGACTACCTGGAGGGAAGAATCTGACAGAATCCGCCTCGCACGCGCTCGGCCTCAGGGCGGCACCACGGACGCACTCTGCTGTCAAGACTCTGGACTCCATTGTCTGGAGGTCCGTCGAGGCTCGCACACCCGGGACTGCTCTCGGCTGAGCTCTGTCAGCTCACCGCGCGAGGACGCGGGTACCAGAGTCCGGGACCAGAGCCGCCCTGTCCGAGCGTGCGGGCGCCTGCGCACTCAGAGCCCAAGCCCACCGGCTGCCGGCCGTGGACTACATTTCCCACAAGGCCCAGGGGGAGGGTGTAAACTTCACCCAGAGGGCTTCACGGAGCCGTCCTTTCCGGGTTGCGCAGCTACCGCGAGCGAGCCACCGCGTGTAAACTTCACCCAGAGGGCTTCACCGAGCCGTCCTTTCCGGGTTGCCCAGCCACCGCATGTGAGTTTGTAGAAGCTGGGGGAGAAGTTGGTGCTAGGTGAGGCGGAGCAGGATTTGTCCGGGGTGGAGGTGGAGGTGCCGCCCAAAGTGAGGAGCCCAGGGAGGCTTTTCTGCCTGCAGCCTCAGGCCTGTGCGGGCAGGAGGAGAGGAGGAAAGCGATTGTGTGACTGTGTGTGTGTGTGTGCAGGACAAAGTCAGGCCTCCTGTCGATGGGTGCGGTTGTCTGATAGTGGTGCTTGGTTCAGTGATGAGTGTGACTGACCCATGCTCTTGCTGCCTTACCCTCCCTCCCCTCAGCCCTGGTGTCTGCACAGACTATGTCCTCAAGAGAAAAGTCCAAGATTGAACCCCAGGATTAAGGTTCCCAGCAAGAAGTCACAGTCCTGGGCTTGGAATGGGGCTTTTAGAGCTAAAAGTGTCTCCGAGACACTTTTCTGGGAGGAAATGGTGAGAGGGGTCCTTACTTGGAGGCAATGTGGGTGCTGCTGCATTTTTCTGAACCACAGCATCCCCTTAGCTCTGATCCTAGGAGTCGGCTATCATGTCAAAGACGGGCTCCCATCTGGTCACAGGCGTGAGGTAGAGCTGATGTGGCCCTGGAGGGGACATTACCCGTCTGGCTGTGCTCTAAGAAAGGCTTGGTGTCTCATGATTTCCTTCTTCCCCAGTCCTGCCAGTCTTTGCAAGAAGGATCCTGAAGAGAAAGGAAACAAATTTCCCCATCTAAAAGTACAGATCAGGTGAGCTTCTACTTTCTCTTTGTTCATAAATGCATTTTTGTTTTTAGTACATAGAAACATTTGCTTTTCTTTTCCTGAAATGTCAGTGACCTATTCTAGGCCTTCCTTCTCAATAAATGAGGGGCCATGCAGATGGGTCCCCCTCTCATTCACTTTTTGTAATAGTAAATTTATATCCTGGAGTCTAAAGTTACAGCTTTGCTTAATAAAGCAAATGAGATGAAAATTTAAGTGGAATCACATCATTGCTGTCCTGCAGAACCTCAGTTTAAAAGTGAGGCAAGATCAGAGGTGGTCTGATTGGTGTCAGTGACATGGGCATCTGCGTTTTAAGGTGTTTAGGAGCAGGAACGTGATTGGAAATCATGGAAATCTGTGTCATCATGCGTAAGATTTTTTCCAGGGAATTGATAGGTTGAGATTTGCTTATAAAGAGTTTGTCAAAAGAAAAAAAAATGTGCATATGAGTAAAGTAAGATTCATTGTGATGAACAATAATACTCACATTTTAAATTTTATATGAATAGCATTTACTATTATTGGGATTCAGAGATATTTTACAAGTGTTATATCCAAAGTGATATTTCAGTTGATTATTCAGTGGAGAAAGGGGAAATAAACCAAACACTGTCTGTCTGCTTTGCCCACATTTTTTTATTTAGTCTGCAGATGCCCCTCACCTGATATGTTCATTCAGAGGAGAATTTTGTCTGTGAAAAGGTCTTATTGTATTGAAGAAGAATGTTCAAGAGTTGTTAGTCTTTATTAATAATGGTCATACTGATTCCCTTACTATTCCCACACATGTCAAACAGATTTGCTTCCAAGATTTTCAAATATTTTTAATTGGATATAGATTTGTTGTATACTTAATATTATGGAATTGATACTTTTTTTTTCCAAAGGTTATTCAGTTATATTACATAAGGGACTTGTAAAAAAGAAAGTTAAAATAACCCTGGCATCATGATTAATATTTTGGGGAGGTTTATTTTAGCAAAAAATTTCTTCTGTGAACCTGCATATGTGTGTGTGTATGCATGTGTGTGTAGAATAGAAACTGTTCTAACTGAACATTCAAAGGACACACATTCCACAACTCTTATTTGAAAAAAGTAATTCTACCAAACCGGAGGTTTCTTATGTCTCTGTGAATATAGAAAGAAGAGGAACATGTCAGTGAAGCTTCATAAACCTTCCAAGTATTTATACCTCCAAATTTAGCATTATCTAAATCAACTATGAATAATTATTATGGCACAATTTATCAAATAAGATAGGCTTTCAGGATTAAACTTTTTTAGGTTGCTTTTGGGACTTTGCTCGTGGTCCAGTGGCTAAGACTCCATGCTCTCAATGCAGGGAGCCCAGGTTCGATCCCCGGTCAGGAGACTAGATCCCACATGCTGCAACTAAGACCCAGAACAGCCTAAATAAATAAATATTAAAAAAATTTAGTTGCTTTAACAGGGCACAGTAATAACCTCTCCAGTCCACGTATCTTTAAATGCCAACAACATTTTGGAAGACAGGTTTATAATAGTAGAAAACAGAATAAAATGGTAATAACTGTAAATATTAATGTAAATCTTTATATAGGACAGGAGAGTAAGATTGAGCCTCTTATTAATATTCTCCATTTAATTCTCTTCATCAACTTTATGTTGAAGAATTGTGTCTCTTCTTTTGTAGTAGCAAGGATGAGGAGAGACGTGCTTACCACTTTAAAGCCTTGCCTCTAAAATATGTAAAATATCATTATAAAAAAAAGTGGGCATGAGAATCAAATTTTACTATAAAAACAGAAAGTAGAAAATAATTTCATAACAATACCATCTAACTTTTATTTAGCAATTACGTGTCACTAAATGCTGTCTGTGTAATATCCCAATCTTCATGACAACTGTAGGAGATTGGTACTGTTCTTATCCCCAGTTTATCAGTAAACTAACTGAGAAGTTGGCAGCTGTCAGATTAGGGCTTACATTCTGAAAATCAACAACAGAGTCTGTGTTATGAATGACATTATAATCTCTCCCTTAATTTTACATACTTTTTTTTTTTTCCGGCTGCACCACTCAGCTTGCAGGATCTTAGTTCCCCGACCAGGTATCGAACCTAGGCCCTAAGCAGTGAAAGCACAGAGCTCTAACCACTGGACAGCCAGAGGATTCCCCATACTTGTTTAATTTGCCTGTAAGTGTCAGTAATTCATGAATATCCTTCTCCAACATAAAATATTGACCAGTATAATCAGTATTAATAGGGGCCTTAGTGTGCCATCAAAACTGACCATAGTTTTATATTTAAAATGGATACCAAACAAGGACCCACTGTATAGCACACAGAACTCTACTCAGTGTTATGTGGCAGCCGGGATGGGAGGGGGTTTGGGAGAGAAGGGATATATGTATATGTATGGCTAAATCCCTTCACCGTTCACCTGAAACTGTCATAACATTGTTAATCAGCTGTACCCCAAAACAAAATAAAAAGTCCAAAGGGGGGGCGAAAAACTGACCATAATTTATTTAACCTCTTGCCTCCTGTAGCTATTTATTTTTCCAACAGTTGGTTATTCTAAGTTGTTACATGATAAACATCTTGTGCATGTATCTTAGTGCGCTAAGAAAAACTGCCTAAAAATGGAGCTTTGGTTGAATAACAGACATAAGGGCTCCCAGTATGCCGAGTCTTCTGGTAGTTAGAGGAGAACAAGCACTGAGCATGGTCACTATCCTCAAGTTTCTTGTAATGCAGCAAATATTATAAAGTCAAAATAAACAGCATAAGCACGAGATGGGAGGTGGTGAGGGCTTCCCTGGTGGCTCAGTGGGAAAGAACCTGCCTGCAATGCAGAAGATGCGAGTTCGGTCCCTGGGTTGGGAAGATTCCCTGGAGAAGGAAATGGCAATCCACTCCAGTATTCTTGCCGGGGAAATCGCATGAACAGAGGAGCCTGGTGGGCTAAAAGTCCATGGGATCGCAAAAGAGTTGGACACGACTGAGCGACTAGACGACAACAACAAGGCGGTAATAAAGCCACGAGAGATACTCAGGTCACATTTCTTGGGAGTTCATAGAAAGGAAATAGCATTTCTCTAGCAACCTCTGTCAGCTTTTGGCCAGTTTATTCTGAGTTTAGGGGAACTCTATGGTGAAAAAATGAAATTTAGGCTGTATGATTCTTACCAGCTCTGTCCAGTAAAACTTTCTGCAGAGATGAATATGTTCTGTATTTACATTCTCTAGTATGGTAGCTACTAGCCACATGAGCCTCTCGAGCACTCGAAATGTGGCTGGTGCAGCTGAGGCAGTGAACTTCTAATTTTACTTAAATTTGATTTGATTTAAATAGTCATATGTGGCTATTGTGATAGCACAACTTCATATCTAACAGTTTTGCTTCTAATGATGTTAGATTCAAAGTGAGACTAATGGAACAGATACAGATCAACATCATCAGAAATTTGGGTGGACTGAAGACCCTTTTTTTCTTTCTTTCTTTCTTTAGCTGCACCGGGTCTTAGTTGCTACACGTGGGATTTTCCATCTTTGTTGCGGCACGTGGGATCTTTAGTTGCAGTATGTGGGATCTAGTTCAATGACCAGGGATTGAACCCTGGCCCCCTGCATTGGGAGCTCAGGGTCTTAGCCACTGGACCACCAGGGAAGTCCCTGGAGACCCTTCTGCTGGAGTGCCTGGTCTAGCTTCATGCAGGAAGCCCCTGATTTGTATCCAGACTTGTGCAGGTGGTCCCCTGTGGTATAGGGAAAGTTTGGCTTCATTTAGGCTCCCTCTTTTCTCTTCTGATTTGTATGTGGGATATCATGGGGATAGAAATACAAAGAAGGCAAAACAGGATCATATTAACTAAGTCATTTTGGGATTCCTTTGAGACACAGCTGGTCTCAGAGTCTCATTCCTCCCCCAGTCGTAGCTTCTCTGGATTCTGGGCTTTTCGAGTGGAGGAACCCCAAAGAGGACTACGAAGTTCTTGCAGTTCTACAACCATGGCCCATGTAAGTTCACTTTTCTCCTCCTTGAGATGTGGTTTTTGAATTCATGTGATCACGTTTATTATCCTGAAACTTGCTTCCTGAGACAGCACTATTGCTCAAGTTGCCCTCAATCACTCTGATCTCAGTGAAGGATGGAGCCACACATCTTAGTGGCCTTCTTCTTTGCCCCTTGTTTCTCTCTCCAGTGTTCACCTATTTCATCACCTCTCCAAGGACTCAGTCTCTCTAAGGACCCTTGGTGGAGCAGTGATGGGTGCAGTTGCTTGAGGGAAATCCTTGAACTTCTCTCATTAGAGTCATGATTCCATGACACAGAGATGATGGTCCATTAGACTCCACAGACCTGAGTGTTTCAGGTTGATAAGATGGAATTTAGTGTTGATTTTTTTTGCACATGACGAGATCTCATATTCTAAGAGGTTTATAGGACTAGATTGGAGTGTGACTGAGGCCTGCATGTTGGAATCTCAAGGGTCTGTCCAGGGGGTCCCCAGAGGGCTAAATAACAGGACAGAAGTCAGTTTTGAGCTTGAGGAGGGTATGCGGGTCTCTAGTGACATCGGTGTCATTGTGGATCATCCTACACTAGCATCCGTCAGCTTAGGATCCAAACAAGTGTTCCTGAGGGATGGTGGTGGTAGCAGGTGGGGAGACCCTCCGAGACCCCTGATGGGGGAACGAAGAAAGGCTAAAGGGAGTGGGCTTTAGAAAGAAATGCTAGGGCTTCCCTTGTAGCTCAGCTGGTAAAGAATCCACCTGCAGTGTGGGAGACCTAGGTTTGATCCTGGGTTGGGAAGATCCCCTGGAAAAGGGAAAGGCTACCCACTCCAGTATTTTGGCCTGGAGAATTCCATGGACTGTATAGCCCATGGGGTCACAAGGAGTCAGACATGACTGAGCAGCTTTCACTTTTCACTTTCAAAGGGACTGGGGGAGACCTTAGACATTTTGTCCAACCTAAATGCCTAAAAGTGACAGAAGGATTAGTCCAATCTATCCACAAGATGGATGAATAGCCAGCCAGTAAATAAAATAATTTGTCATCTGTTATGACAAGGGAAAATGCTTATGATATTATCTTGCATAATAATGAACCTGAGTATTGATTAAATCAAATGTCTGCCGCTGTGCTGTGCTCAGTCATGATTGACTCTTTGCAACCCTATGGACTGTAGCATTCCAGGTTCCTCTGTCCATGGGATTTTCCAGGGAAGAATCCTGCCAGTAGGTTGCCATTGCCTCCTCCAGAGGATCTTCCTGACCCAGGGATCAAACTCTGGGCATGTGGATTCGTTACCAGCTGCGCCAAATCAAATGTCAGGAAAGTCCTATTTTCTTAGAGATTTTGGAGTATTTGGGGGACAAACAATTCATTACTTGTTTTTCTTTTAGTTTTTTGAAAGGAAAACAACATAACTCGTATTTATTTACAACTTAAACTATTCGCATGATAGGCAGTGTGCTTATTGATATGATTTTGTTTCACTGGAAAACTTTATTCACTCATTACATGATATACAGGACATTCTATTTGTAACAACTGTACTCTTCAAAAGTATGTAGGCACTCCGTTTTACAAATTACTGATTTTCTTTTTCTTCCATACATGTTACGGGCTTGATAGCAGATTAACTGCTTGTTACAGTGCCTCTTTCCTACAAAGCAGTTTTCCCCTTTTGAAAATACAGTTAAAACATTGTTTATAATACATGGGTCTGTCATTTCAGATGTCCTTGTCATTCAGGGATGTGGCCATAGACCTCTCCCAGGAAGAGTGGGAGTGCATGAACCCTGTTCAGAGGGCCTTGTACAGGGATGTGATGTTGGAGAACTACAGCAGCCTGGTCTCATTGGGTAAGGATATCTGCACAAATAATTGACAGTCTGCCTTCTGGAATACCAGTTTTCTCCACTGTTGAATTTCAGAGCTCTGTTTTAAGACACCAGCTGAATGGCTTTCCCCTATTTTGAAAGAATGGTTTGAGTATTATTGGGTTGGAAACGGGCATTTGGTTAAGTGCCATCTTCTCTTCCTTCAGTCACCTTCACTCTTTCCTCTGGTCCTTCCTACAGTTGCCTGTTATTCTACATTCTTTCTAGGTCTGAGTCCTGTAGTATGTTCAGAGAAGTCAGGTGTCATATAATGTCCATGCTCAGAATTCCTGAGAATTAGCTAGTCTTAGAGTTTTGTGTTTTCGTGATCATCAGAGGAGCCTCTATAGTTTATAGAGTGGTAGATGGATTAACAATATTCTTTTTTTTTTTTTTTTTCGGTTGTGCCACTTGGCATGCAGGATCTTGGTTCCCCATCCAGGGATCAAACACACAGCCCCTGCAGTGAAAGCACAGAGTCCTAATCACTGGATCATCAGGGAAGTCCCCAGTAATATTCATTTAAAATTGAAGTAAACTCATCCCATCCTAGAGGAGACATATTCTCTCTAACCTACTTTGTGGTTGAAAATTCTAGTCCGTGAATCTTACATTTTCTATTGAAAGAATTCTGAGAGAAAAAAAAAAAATAAATCAATAAAAGAAAAGAAAGAATTATGAGGAAGAACTTGGAAGTATTTTTCAAGACAATATTTTTCTTTTGGGCTTCCTAGGTGACTCGGTGGTAGAGAATCCTTCTGCCGCTCCAGGAGACATGGGTTTGATCCCTAATGGGGAAGATCCCCTTGAGAAAGAAATGGCAAGCCACTCTAATATTCCTGACTGGAAAATCCCATGGACAGAGGAGCCTGATGGGCTACAGTCCATGGGGTCACAAAAGACTCAGACATGACTTAATAACTAAACAGTAACAAGAAATTTTTCTTTTACTAAAATAAGAACAACAGCAGAAATAATACTGCATGCTAGGCATCCTTGCAAGCTCTTATATATATTAATTCATTTAATTCTCACAAGAGTCCTCTAAGGTAATAATAGCCCCATTTACACTGATAAAAGTGTAACACATGGAAGGAGTAACTGCCGGCGAGTGACAGAGTATTTGAACCCAGACCATAGGGGTTCAGAGTCTGTGTCCTCAGTGCCTTTCTGTACTGCTTTAAATGCACAACAGACGTTCTCCCTCCCCTATTTGGCCTCTTTAGTCCTATGACCATGAATCCATCAAATGTTGATATTCTTCACTGGCCTTCTTCATTTTATCAAATGCCCTTTTGACCTATAGGACTTCCCAGGTGATGCAATCCACCTGCTGGTACAGGAGGCATAAGAAATGTGGATTTGATCCGTGGGTTGGGAAAATCCCCTGGAGTAGGAAATGGCAACCCACTCTGGTATTCTTGCCTAGAAAATTCCATGGACAGAGGAGCCTGGGGGCTATAGTCCATAGGGTTGCAAAAAGTCAGACAGGATTGAGCACACGCATGCACATACACATACATACACACACACACATTTTGACCTCGAGTTTAATAGAGATATAACCAAGTCTAAGTTAAGTCATTTTGAATTTTGCCTGTTGTAAGTCATGTGGCATTTCTTTCTTGTGAGCAGGATGTTCCACTCCTAAGCCAGACATGATTACTTTACTGGAGCAAGAGAAAGAGCCCTGGATGATAATGAAGGAAGGAACAGGAAGTTGGTTCACAGGTGAGTGATGCCAGATCAGCCAACGTGCGTGCCATCACACCCTCTGGGTCAGGGAGACACATGGCCCTGAGATGAAGGCTCCTTTCAGAGGCCCAAGGCCTGTGGGGAAAAGGCCTGATTTCTGGGAAAACTTTAAAAGTCCCTCAACATGAGCTCCCAAAAGCACTTCATCTTTACCCTCATTTGTCATGCTCCTTACTTCACTTCTCTTCTATTTCCCTCCCATTTCAAAGCGGGAACTGCCTTCTCTTTTCCCCATTGACAACCATTTTATCTATGTTTCCAAGTCCTCTTCTATGTTTATACTTCTATTCTTTTCTCCACTGCATAACATTATTTTATACATATTTCCAACTTACTTGAAAGCAAGACTGTGCCCAAGTTTAAGTACTATTGATATAGATTCCTACATGTTGTAGTAAAGAAGATGACCTGTACAGAGAAGCAAGGCAATATGGTGGTGATATGTTTTTATCTGTGGTAATTTGGCTGAATTTTATTCTAAGAGATTAAAGAGAAACCTTTGGGAAAAAAAATTATGTACAGATTCTCAAAGTGATTTGCATCAGAATCATCTAATGAAAAAGATTAAAAACAAAGACATTCAGAAGTTGTTCCTATAGATTTTCATTCCTTTTGTTTCTGTTGTTGCCCAAAAAGCAGTATACGTAAGGAACTCCCCTACATCCATCCTAAGTAGGGGGACCACTGACTTAATTTGTTCATCTAATCACTCATTTTACCCTCTTTTAGCACCACATCATTTTCTGAAGCCTTTTGCCTTCTTTCAAATTGCATTACAACCATTTGGAGTTCTCTAAATCAGGATCCAGCAGACAAACAACTGACCATCTGCTTTTGAATGGCTCACAGGCTAAAACCAGTTTTTACATTCTTAGTGGTTGAAAAAAATCAGAAGAATGCTTTATGAAATATAAAAATTGTAAGAAATTCAAATTTCTGTGTCCATACACCATATGTGGTATTACAACATAGGTACACTTATTCAGTTATATACTGTCTAGGCTCCCTCCGAGCTTATAACAGCTGAGCTGGGTAATTGTCACAAAGACCGTATGTCCTAGAAAGGCTAAAATTTTTACTATCTGGCTCTTTACAGAAAAAGCTTGCCGACCTCTGCTCTAAAACTCAACTTCTAATCTGTCTTATTCTTCGTTTGTCTTTTATTTTGACTATAAGATGCAATCCCTTATTCTACCCCCAACATAGAAAAATCACATCACAGCATTTGTTTCCTTTTTCCTCCAGATTTGGAGTCTAAGTATTTCACCAAGAAGGTATTTCCAGAAAAGGATATTTGTGGAACACATTTGTTTCAGTTGCAGACAGTGGATGAAAGTCAAACTTATATCCAGGAGGACACCATTTTCAGAAATGATTTGCAGTGTAAACATGAGTTTGAGAGACAAGAAGCACATCAAATGAGATATGCTAGTCAAATGATAATCCAAAACTGTGTAGCTCTTCCTCTACATGAGAAAATTCATGCCATAGAGAAATCATATGAATGTAAGGAATGTAGGAAGGCTTTTAGACAACAGTCACACCTTATTCAACATCTAACAATTCATACTGATGAGAGACCCTATAAATGCAAGGAATGTGGGAAAGCCTTTTGTCGTGTGGGGGACCTTAGAGTACATCAGAGAAATCATGCTGGGAAGAGACCCCATGAATGTAACAATTGTGGGAAGACTTTTAGGCTTCCTTATCACCTTACTGAACATCAGAGAATACATTCTGGTATGAAACCCTACGCGTGCAAAGAATGCGGAAAGTCCTTTTGTCGTGTGGGGGACCTTAGAGTACATGAGAAAATTCATGCTTGGGAGAGACCTTATGAATGTAAGGAATGTGGGAAGGCCTTTACACTTCACTATCAGCTTACCGAACATCAAAGAATTCATACTGGTGAGAGGCCTTATGAATGTAAAATTTGTGGAAAGACCTTTAAGGTACAAGGACATGTTCGTCAACATCAGAAAATTCATACTGGTGTAAAACCCTATAAATGTAATGACTGTGGGAGGGCCTTCAGTCGTGGCTCATACCTTGTTCAACATCAGAAAATTCATACTGGTGACAAATCCTATGACTGTAAAGATTGTGGTAAGTCCTTTAGTTTTCATGCAGATCTTACTCGACATCATAGAATTCATACTGGTGAGAAACCCTACAAATGTAAAGAATGTGGAAAAACCTTTCGTCTCCAAACAGAACTGACTCGGCATTGTAGAATTTATACTGGAGAGAAGCCCTATGAATGTAAGGACTGTGGGAAGGCCTTTATTTGTGGCTATCAGTTGGCTTTACATCTGACAGTTCATACTGGTGAGATTCCCTATGAATGTACGGAATGTGGGAAAACCTTCAGTAGTCGCTATCATCTTACTCGACATCACAGGGTTCATACTTGTGTAAAACCCTATGAATGCAAGGAATGTGGGAAGGCCTTTATTCATAGCAGTCAACTTATTTCACACCAGCGAATTCACACCAATAACACCTACGAGTGCAAAGAATGTGGAAAGGTTTTCAGTCGTCGCTACGGTCTTAATCAACATTATACAATTCACACCGGTGAAAAACCCTATGTATGTAAAGAATGTGGAAAGGCTTTTCGCATTAAAACAGAACTCCGTCTGCATCACAGAATTCATACCGGTGAAAAGCCCTATAAATGTCAGGAATGTGGGAAAGCCTTTGTCCTTAGACAGCACCTTATTCAACATCAGAGAGTTCATACTGGTGAGAAACCTTATGAATGTAACCAATGTGGGAAGACCTTTAGTCGGCGCTGTTATCTTACTCACCATCACAGAATCCACACCGGGGAGAAACCCTACATATGTGACAAATGTGGGGAGGCTTTTATTTGTAAGTATCAACTTACCTTTCATCAAAGAATTCACAGTGATGAGAATCCAAACAAATGTAAGGAATGTGGAAAGATCTTCAGTCGCCGGGATCATCTTACTGATCATTTTAGAATTCATACTGGTGAGAAACCTTATGGGTGTAAAGTATGTGGGCGTGCCTTCCGTCTTCATTCAGGACTTAGTCTACATTACACAATTCATACAGGTGAAAAACCCTATAAATGTAAAGAATGTGGGAAAGCCTTTAGTGTTAGGTCAGAACTTAAACGACATCACAGAATTCATACTGGTGAGAGACCCTATAAATGTAAACAATGTGGGAAGGCTTTTGCTCGTCGTGATATACTCACTGTACATCATAGAACACATTAGTCAGGAATCCCTATTCATAATGTAAAGAGTATATTGATAGGTTGCTAAGTTGTGTCTGACTCTTTGTGACCCCATGGACTAGCCTACCAGGCTCCTCTGTCCATGGGATTTCCCAGGTAAGAATACTGGAGTGGGTTGCCATTTCCTCTCCAGAGGATCTTCCTGACCCACAATTCCTGCATTGCAGGTGGATTCTTTACCATCTGAGCTACTGGGGAAGCCCCTACAGAGGATACAGTGACCTTTAGAAAATGCTTTTTATAACAACAGAATTCATAATTAAGAAAAATTTTACTTGTTAGGGAACATGTGGTAATCCCCTTTGCTTCATGCTTAAAAGTTAACAGAAATAGTTTTATACTACATATGTTGATTGAAAGAGCTGAAAAAATTAAAGCATCACCCAGTCTTGGTTAACTTTAGAGAATGATACTGCTGCAGTGCATCTGAAACCAAGATGAAGGATACCAACCACCTCCCCACAAAAACTGTTGTTGACCAGTACTTTTAAAAGGCACAATGAAATTGGATTGCCAGATAAATAAAACTGAAAGAAAAACAAACATACAAAATGGAAGCCCCCAATTTGTTTTACTACTTTTTAAAAACCATTTTTTAAATTTAGAAGTTGTGCTGGGTCTTCATTGTTGCGTGAGGGCTTTCTCTAGTTGTAGCAAGAGGGGGCTACTCTTTCTAGTTTTGGCGCATGGGCTTCTCATTGCAGTGACTTCTCAGAGCATGGGCTCTAAAGCACAGGCTCAGTAGTTGTGGCACATAGGCTTAGTTATCCCGCAGCAGGTGGAATCTTCCCGGACCTGGATTGAACCCATGTACCCTGCATTGGCCCATGGATTCTTAACCGCTAGACCACCAGGGAAGTTCCCCGAATTTTTTGTTATTGGATTTAACAGACATAAGTTGGCCCTGTCCTCTTTCTGTGAATAACTATAAATATTTGCTGTCAGTGTCTGTACCTTAACTCATTGCAGACCAGAAGCAAACAACCTGTGGACCAGCATCAGTACACAGACCACACTTTATGCAGCATTACAACAGAAAATAATTCTGTCAATGTGACAGATGGGGGAGAAGACTTTAGCCATGGTAGATTTTTCTAGAGTTCTCACAGTTCCACCGCTGCCTGTGTGGTATTGGCAAGGCACTCTTCCCCTCTGTGCCTCAGTTTTAAAGTGGTGATTATAGTACCTACCTAATAATACTTTTCTAAGGATGAAATGTTAATTTTAAAAGACCTTTAGAAGAGAATGTGTTCGTTAATTACTACTTTCAGTGATACTAATAAATTGATGTGAGAGGAAGACCCTGTGAATATAAGGAATTTTAAAAAACTGTCCACTATCTTTCATTTTGTTTACTTAAATAATTAATTATGGATAAAGTCTAGTAAAATAAACTTTCACCTCTAAAATTAAGAAGTCATTTCCAAAAACTAATGTGAAAAAGAAATCTCTAGAGTTGATAAATGTGGAGATGATGAGAGAAGGCTTTTGAAGAATCTGGGAGTGCTATAATGCTTTTTCTTTTATAAGCCATAAAGCAGACATGTTACTGTCTGCTTTTTCTGCTCCAAATTCATGATAGATTAGAAACTAACAATGAAAAGACCACTGTCTATTTGGAAAAATAAAAATGCAATGAATAATATAACGGCCTCTCTAGAATCAATGATTGTTACTATGTTCTCTGATTTGATTTGCTTTGTATAATTTTTGACATTTTTACTGTTGTATCTGAGTATAAATACAGACATTAGACATCATGGGGCTTCCCTGGTGGTGCAGACGGTAAAGAACCTTCCTGCTGCAATGCAGGAGATCCAGATTCGATCTGTGGGTTGGGAAGATCCCTTGGAGAAGGGAATTGCAACCCACTCCAGTATTCTTGCCAGGAGAATTCCATGGACAGAGGAGCCTGGCAGGTCACAGTCCACAGTGGTCGTAAAGAGGCAAACATTACTGAGCAAATAAGCATGCATACATAGCCATCATAACATTTCACCTCTATATATATCCTGCAACTCCTAAGAAAAAAGACTGCCTCCTACTCAATCACTATGTAACTTCACACTGAAGGACATTAACAATACTACCATATCTGTAATACTACACATAGATAACCAGTGCCTTAACTCAACATATCTAAAATAATGTCTCTGGGAATAGTAGTATTTAATGGTACTGTGGAAATGTTCTGAGGTCACTTATGAATGTCTAAATAATAAATCCCTTCTAAGGAAAAAATGCTCAGTGTCAATCAAAGGACTTGAGAGGCCTGCAATAAAATTTGCTTTTTATCCTATTGTTTCTTAACCTTTACTAAGGAAGTCTCATTCACAACACCTAATATCTTCAGGATGTGAACCCACACTGAAAATGCTACCATAACTGAAGAAGAGTGACCCTCAAGATGGACAGTCCAGATCCATGGCAAGTGTTTACCTGTGTTGAGAAAGGAAATGCATGGAGTGTTTCTCTGTTGCTCGTATCTTCCTCTGCAGTCAACTGCTTGTGCTTTAAATGTAGGGCTGATACTTTCTACAGAAGTAAACACTTATCGCATCTAGTTTTTTATATGAATATATCATAATGTATTTAAACCTCTTATTTTTTAATGTTCAGGTTTAACAATTTTTCAATTTCACACATATCCTTGTCTGTGACCACTGGTTTGTGTGAACTGGAATTTCTTTCATTGTACTCATGGAAAAGTAGAACTGCTCATAAACATTATATACTCTTTCAGTTATGTTAGATGTTGCTAAGTTGATCATAGGTTAAATACACTTCCAATTCTACTAGATATGGCCAAGTTGTTCTCTTAGACTCCTATTGAATTTTCCTACAGCTTCATATTAGGTATAAGTTTTACTAAATATTTTGATAAGTTTGAATTTCAGTTGAGAATTTTTCAAATGTGGTTCTAGGCCAGTCATTATTTCTTTCCTTTGAATTTCCTGTTCTTAAACTTTCTCCATTATTGTTGTTCTGTTGTTTGTTTTCTAATAGGCTTGAATGGTATTCTGGATACTTCATTTGGCATTACTTTCTCCTATCTTAAATATAGCAGTAGTTATCTATCTACTGAACACTCATTCTATTTTTATGAGACAGATTTCTAAGTTATAAATTGCATAATCTGTATAACAATAAACTTTATTTTCTAATATTTATACTTATTACTTTATTTACTTTTCTTCTTTTGATAGACTCTTCAGAACAAAGTTGAATATTCTGGTAATAGCAGTCATCAATTTCTCTGAATTTAGAAATATCCCAGTATTTAATCATTTGCTATAATGTTCACTCTATTTGGAGATAAATTCTTCTTGTTGCCTCTAAATAATTTCCTTCACTATTTGTAGGGGACCAGAGAATCCCTACTTTTGTTTGCTAGTGAACTGCTGAATTTTGTCCAAGACCATTTTGTTATCTACTGATAAAATCTTATGTTTTTCATCTTAAATTTATTGATGTATTGATTTGTTACTATTTGGTTCTTGGTGTAAGTTTATTGGTGCCTTGATTTATTTTTAATTAAAATTAAATTTTAAACAATTCTTGTAATATACTGTGGTTTTTGTCATAGGTCTGAAGTTCATTTGGTAATATATTATTTAGAGTTTTTCCATCTATAGTCATATGTGAGGCAGTATTATAGTTTTCTTTTTCTTTGATAAGATTTTAGATTTGTAATTAACTTTCTTTAAAAACTATAAACAATCTGTCTATAAAATATAATGAATTTTAGTATATTGACTATATATTTGATATCCTTACCATAAATTCAGTTAGATCTAGAAGGTTGTTTTTTTTTTTAATCAGTTCAGTTTAGTCACTCAGTCGTGTCCAACTCTTCATGACCCCATGGACTGCAGCACACCAGGCCTCCCTGTCCATCACCAACTCCCAGAGCTTACTCAAACTCATGTCTATGGTGTCAGTGATGCCATCCAACCATCTCATCCTCTGTCGTCCCCTTCTCCTCCAGCCTTCAGTCTTTCCCAGCATCAGGGTCTTTTCCAGTGACTCAGTTCTTTGTATCAGGTGGCCAAACTACTGGAGTTTCAGCTTCAGCATCAGTCCTTCCAATGAATATTCAGGACTGATTTCCTTTAGGATTGACTGGTTGGATCTCCTTGCAGTCCAAGGAACTCTCAAGAGTCTTCTCCAACACCACAACTCTAAAGCATCAATTCTTCGGCCCTCAGCTTGCTTTATATAGTCCAACTCTCACATCCATACATGACTACTGGGAAAACCATAGTTTTGACTAGACAGACCTTTGTTGGTAAAGTAATGTCTCTGCTTTTTAATATGCTGTCTAGGTTGGTCATAGCTTTTCTTCCAAGGAGCAAGAGTCTTTTAATTTCATGGCTGCAGTCACCATCTGCTGTGATTTTGGAGCCCAAGAAAATAAAGTCTGTCACTGTTTCCATTGTTTCCCCGTCTATTTGCCATGAAGTGATGGGACTGGATGCCATGATCTTAGTTTTCTGAATGTTGGGCTTTAAGCCAACTTCTTCACTCTCCTCTTTCACTTTCATCAAGAGGCTCTTTAGTTCTTCTTCACTTTCTGCCATAAGGGTGTTGTCATCTGCATATCTGAGGTTATTGATATTTCTCCCGGCAATCTTGATTCCAGCTTGTGCTTCCTCCAGCCCAGGGTTTCTCATGATGTCCTTTGCATATAAGTTAAATAAGCAGGGTGACAATATATAGCGTTGGTGTACTCCTTTCCCGATTTGGAACCAGTCTGTTATTCCATGTCCAGTTCTAACTTGCTTCTTGACCTGCATACAGGTTTCTCAGAAGTCAGCTAAGGTGGTCTGGTATTCCCATCTCTCAGAATTTTCCAGTTTGTTGTGATCCACACAGTCAAAGGCTTTGACATGGTCAATAAAGCAAAAGTCGACGTTTTTCTGGAACTTCCTTGCTTTTTCGATGATCCAGCAGATGTTGGCAATTTGACCTCTGGTTCCT